TTCCTCGATGCTTCCAGCTCTCTCTTTTCATTTTATATTGACGTGGCCAGATTGCTTCTGTCTTCAGGAGTTCCCACAGAGGCCCAATTAGCTGAGGATCAGATGTTCTCGGGGTTTCTCCTGGATCCCGGATCCCTCCAGGATAGATTTTGGCCTCTGGAATTTTGGGTTGGCCTGGCCTGGGAGCCAGGTCCGGGAAAGATGCTGGTCTAGGGCAGCTGGTGGCTCTGCCACCCAGAGATGCAAAGGGGGCGGGAGGGTTTCTCCTAAGGTCTGGATCCCTCCAGGATAGATTTTGGCCTCTGGAATTTTGAGTTGGCCTGGCCTGGGAGCCAGGTCCGGGAAAGATGCTGGTCTAGGGCAGCTGGTGGCTCTGCCACCCAGAGATGCAAAGGAAGATGGGGGCGGGAGGCAGCCCCAAGGGCCCCTGGGGACTGCACTGAGGAGCTGGGTTGGTCTGGATGCAAAGGACCAGGAGGAGGAAAGGTCAGCCCTGGCGTCCAGGAAAGTTGCTGGCAGGTTGTGCAGACTGGCAGGGGAGATGGGAGGGTGAGTGAGGCTGGGGGAGCCAAGGCATGGAGGGCAGGGTAGACTTACCCAGGAGAGAGAGGCCTGTGGTTGGAGAGAGGCCTGTGGGTCCTGCAGGCCCAGGGAAGCAGAGGGCGGGTTGTTGCTTTTTAACAGTGCAGTCAGTATGCTGAAAAGAAAGAGGTTATTGCTGGGATTTGCACTGTCAGGTTGCAGTAGGTGTTGGCATTGGAGTCTTTGATTCCCATGAAATTTGGGGCCTTAGAAGGAGGAAAGTTTCCATACCCCATTATGACATTGTTACCTCTAGGGGGTGGAGTTGGCACACCGGCAGGAAGGGTCACTTGGGCTCTTCACAGAACTCCCAGGGTCAACTTGTGTGTCCATGTGCCCCTGGAGGGATAAACTTCATTTGAGGAGGACTGTCTTTTTATTCTTGTTGTTTAGCTATCTTCCAACATAGTTAGGGCTAAAGCTTCTTCTGAGAGTGTTTCCTAGGTGAAGAGAATTTCTTTTCCTCCTGTAGATTATCACATACCTTGCAGGCTTTTTGTTTCAGGTATAATTGTGGAGTTATCTAACATTTACTGTAGTCATAGCTCTTCTGACCCCTGAAAATACTTTTTAGAAATTAATGAGTTTACATAAAAAGTTGGAAGGCCATGAAGCCCCTGCCTAGAGTCCTTAACATAGGATCCTTTACACTGGCCACACTCACAGCTCCATCATGTGATCGCCTATTTCTTTACCAGCACAGAAGCAGCACAGAACTCTAACTTGGTGAGATTTTGGAACAGGTGTACCTGGTTCTCAGTAACAGGGAAATGCAAATTTAACAATTTCCTAGTTGGTCTGGGAAGATGGCTGAGTGGGTAAAGTGCTTACACACAAGTGTGAGGATGCTAGTTCAGAATCCCAGCACTCTTGCATTTGCCAGGTGGGCATGGTGGCCTGAGTGGAATCCCAGTGCTCCAGAGACATAGACAGGGGACGCTTGGAGCAAGCTGGCAAGGTGGCTAGCTAGATTAACCAAATTGGAAAGCTCTGGGTTCAAGAGAAAGACTTTTCTTCTCAATATATACAGTGGAGACCAATTGAGTAGACACCCAGTGTCAATTTCTGGCCTTCACATGGACATGACATGCATCTATACTCATGTGAGCATGCATAAATACATACAGGCACATCACACACACACACACACACACACACACACACACACACACATTGATGTTAATTTCCTTATCAGTTTCTACTGGGCTTGGATACTGCCTGGTCACAAAGCTAGTGTACCTCCCACCCCGTACTTCTCTGTGAGACATGCCACACGACACACACCAAGGCTCCAAGGCAAGTCAGGCAAAGATACCAATTTAGGGTCAGATTTCAGAACTGACAAAAAAATCTCATTTTTTGTTGATCCTTTTGTTTGAAGGGGCAGCCAACTCAGGACAAATGATCCTGGAAACTTAGATTATAAGAATGACCCCTGAATCAGTACTAATACAATGGGGTGACATTATAGCAAAAATATTCAGAAATCACAGCACAATATCCACTGTGTTAGTACCAAACACAATAAATAGAGGTAAGTATGAGAACTTAGCAAAGGGAGGCTTTGACATGGACTGGTCTGGGAAACTAGAGAAGTCCCCAAGAAAATGACCTTGTTTTAATGAGATCCAATAAGCCAGAATGCGGTGTCAACCAGGCAATCAGTAGACATGTGTATTAGTTACTTTTCTGTTACTTGAACAAGAAGGAATTTATTTGAACCTAAGGTTCCAGAGGACTAACAGTCCTTCATGGTGGGGAGCCCTGGCAGTAGGCAGGCATGGTGACAGAACCCAAAAGCTGAGCACTCCCACCTTCAACAGCAACCATGAAGCAGAGACAAAGCAAACCAGAAGTGGGACAGGGCTATAATCCTCAAAGCCTGCCCTCAGTGATGTGCTTCCTCTAGCAAGCCACAACTCCTAAAGGCTCTATGACTGCCCCAAACACTGCCACCAACTAGAAACCACAAGTGCAGATGTTTGAACCTGTGGGGGACATTCACATTCAGACCACCACAGCCTGGTTAGCATCATCTTCGGCAAAATGAATCGGCTTTTATGAAGATTTTGAGGTTCTGTGAATACAAATGTATTTTAATTCTTTTGAATTGTCCCCATTGCATCTGAGGCTATAACCCCTTTCTCTTTCAAATGTTGGGTATTTTTGCCATCTTCAGTTTATTGTAATCAAACTGTCTTTTTAAATTGCTGCTTCTCTTCAAAGGATCTGGGCTTTTACTTACCACTGATTCTGAGGGTATGTTTTGTGTTTGGGGGCCATACAGGCCATAGGCAGTGCATCAGTGAGTAGGATGGAAGGGGCAGGACAGAAGCCTGGGAAAAGGCAGTGACTGAAAGCCGGAAGTGAAAGGGCAGGGGCTTCAAGAGAGTCACACACCTTTGAGATGATACAGAGCTTCACTGGGTTGGGGCTAGAGGAGAGGCTACAAGTAAGCCCATGTCTCTAGATATGGTAAACACACTGGGTGGACTGTGACATGGGGACATTAGAAGATCATTGCTTCTGCAGGTTGCCAGCTAATGGCCTTCCTGCTACTTTCTTAAACACTTACTGTGTTTTGACAAACCTGCTTTTTTCCCAGCTTTGCTCTGCCTAGGGATATTTTTAGATGGTGACTCAACAGGATAGGATTTTTCCGAATCTCCATGTTAAGGGAACATCCCCACCCCAAATTTCCTGCCTTGGAGTACAGATAGCATTCTGTGCAGCTCTGTATTTTCCTTCAGAGGTAGAAAGTTCACGGGCTGCGAAGGCGGGGAGTGGGGCTTGCAGAAGTTGGAGCCAAGAATTGGCAACCCAGAACAGAATCAAAAGCAAAAGGAAAGAAATACACAAGGCACCAAGATAGAGTTTCACACTCAAGTCCTGGTGTTCCTGTTCCCTTCCGCCTCCAGAAGGCACATCACCAGCCTGCTCTAACTGCCCATCACTAAACGGCTGAAAACAGACCACACTGCAGTCCATAGTATGTGGTTTAGGAGTATAGCAGGCCACACCATCTGTGTTTAGGAACATCACTCCATGATGTTTATACAATGACTAAATTGCCTAATGACACACTTCTCAGAACACTCCCCTTATTAAGTAACACACTAGTATGTGGTAGATTTAGATTTGTTTTCTCGTACAGCACTTCAGAAAAATTGCAATACCTCTGTGATTCTGGGGTCCGAACACTTTCCAGAATGGGCCACAAATTAAATATTTAGGCTCTTCAGGTTAGGTGGTCTTTGTCACAGTTACTGAACTATGCTTTCACAGTAACAAAGCAAGGATAATACATAAGCCATCAAGTGTGGCCATAGTCTTCTAAAACTTTAAATTGACACTGATACTTCAACTTCTATAATTTTCATATCATGAAATAGACTTCATTATTTTTTTTATTTTATGTGTATGAATGTATTGCCTGAATGTATGTAAGTGTACCCCTGTCATGCAGTGCCCACAGAGGTTAGAAGAGGGGGTCAGATCCCCTGGAACTGGAATTATAGATGGTTGTTAGCTGCCATGTGGGTGCTAAAGAGTCACCTGTGGGTCCCCAGCCCTGCCTCGTGTGCTCCTGACATACTTGCTGAGTTTCACATACATACATACATACATACATACATACATACATACATACATACTGAGTTTCCCATATCCTGACACACACCACAGTGTTTGAGGACTTTGTAATGTGTATCCTCCAAGTACTGTGGCCTGATGGGACTAACTATATCCTTTAGGTTTACTAATGAAATCATGGTGAAAATGAAAATAAAAAACAAAAGTAAGCTTTCCATTGGTTATTAATTGAATGAACCATTGAGAAAACATGAACAAATCTAAGTATTTTTTAAGCAGCTCTGGGAGACGAGAAAGATCAATGGACCAAGTATATAAAGGGGTTCACACACAAACAAGTTAGAGACTAGACAATGATAACTGTAAGATACTAAGTGATTTGAAGAAGAAGTAGAAAAGATCAAAATAGTTAACATTTAATAGAAAAGCGATCCTTGGTATTACCTTTGAGGCAGTGGTGTAGAAGGAGTAAAGTGTGTTCAAAGTTGTTCTTTTGGAAGTGAGCATTAGCAAAAATGTCTGGGCCCAACTTTGCTTTACCAGGCTCTTATTTGCCCTATGTCCCTCTGGACCTCATGCTTCAACCCAGTGGACCATCAGGGCAGGTGGAAGGAGCGTTCTGGTTCTGCTTTCCAAAAGTACTGCTTATTTTGTTCCAGAGACACAGATGTACACACGGTGGCCTCTCTGTTAAAGCTTTACCTCCGAGATCTCCCAGAGCCAGTGGTTCCTTGGAGCCAGTATGAAGGTTTCCTGCTCTGCGGGCAGCTCATGAATGCTGATGAGGCAAAGGTTTGTGTTTCTTTAGTTAACTGTCCTACTTAGAAGAAAGCCATTGGTTTCTTGAATGGTTCTAGTAGGCAATAGTGAGTCAGAGGGTCCATACCCTGTGGTAGGATATGTTAAACTAGAACTTGGGCAGCAGTGTTAGGCCAATGGTACCATTCATGGGGCCTTCCATTCACAGTCTTCTTGAAGGTGATGATACATTAAAGAAATGTATTGTCATCAAATACCTTGACCACATGTAAGAAAATGAGAAATGGGTGGAGGGGGATAATACTTCTGAGAGGTTTCTAAAACCTGCCTTCCAACTTAGCCAGCCTGGCCTGTGCCTCAACAATTCTCAGCAAGACTACCAGGTCACACTTTTAAGTAGTCTTGAGATATTAAATTGAGATGTGATTGTTTTTTGGATCATTATATCTTCACGAACCATCTTGAGTGCAAGTTATCAGGTAGTGCATGCTTTATCAGGTACTGCTTCTTGTCAAGGTCAGGAGTGAGTGGCTGGCATAATTGCAATGAAGTCTAAAAATGAACTAAACAAACAAAAACATGGCAGCTGAGAATGTAGCTCAGTTGGTAGACTGCTTGACCGAGAGCAGTCCGGGCTTCAGTTTCCTAAGAATTTATAGTTACTTCCAAATATTTTAATTCACAAAACTGTAGGAACTGGACTGACAACCAAAGTGTTCTTCCTGTACAGATGTGCCAGTTATGTCCCAAGTTTCACTGCTTCGTTGCTGGCAAGTGAGCAGCAGGCTTGCTTATTGCTGTCAAAATTCTCTTCCCAGGCTCAGCAGGAGTTGATAAAGCAGCTCTCTATCCTTCCTCGTGACAACTATAATCTCCTGAGCTACATCTGCAGGTGAGAGTCTTGTGATGTCAACACTACAGTGTCTAGCCATATCAGAAAGCCTCTGGTCAGAAGAGGACACAATCCCTCTAGGATCACAGATTCTGGTCCAGAATTGTAGAAGGTGAAGTCTATCCACATAGCACTGAGACAATGTCCTGTTTCTTCAAGATTATTTCAAAGTCCCTAAGAACTTGGTCAACACACAGAATGAGTATTTTCCCTCCTTTAGACCTGCCTCAGAGCTGCCCAGAGTCCTGGGACATTCATAAGACCCTGGAATACCTATAATGTTTCTAGAATTGTCTCTGGTCTTCCTGAGACAATTCTAGAACCTGACACCCTGGAGACTTTCATTCCTTCAGCCCTTGTAAGAACCTGCTGTGTGTGGTCCTTGTGACAGCACCTTGCTGGCAGACCACCCAGATGTGCTGTGCTGAGAGCCTTCATGCCTGACAAACCTCAGCATTGTCTTTTAGTTTTAAAAATACTGTGATATAATTCCAAATTATAAAGGTGATTCTTACTTGATCTAGCAACCACAAGGACACAACACACTATAAGTAAGAACTAAAAATTAAACGCAACCCCTCATCTAGCAACAATCTCTGTGAACACCTGGGTGTGTTTCCTTCTGGATCTTTTCTCACAGAGTAACTTCAAGAGAATGTTTTCATATCAATTTGAAAAGCATAGAATTCCTTTATCATAGAATAAATGGTTCCATGATTTTCATAATTTTCTTTTTAAATTTTACTTATTATTTTTACTTTTTATGTGTATGAGTGTATTGCCTGAATGTGTGTGAGTGCACCTGCAATGCCTGCAGAGATCAGAAGAGGGCGTCGGCTCCCCGGGAACTATAGTCACAAATGGTTGTTAGTTGCCATGTGGGTTCTGGGAATTAAACCCAGGTCTTCTGCAAGAGCAGCCAGAGCTCTTAACAGCTAAGCCATCTCTCCAGCACCAATATTTTGTAATTTTTATCTTTTGGCCACACCATCAATTAACTATTTCTCCAAATCTGGTGTTTTATGGTGTTTCAGTCTACCCACTTTTGCAGGTGTTTTTTTTAAAATACCTAGATTTCCGTTACTGATCTCTTCATTTGTTGTTGTTTTGCTTTTTATATAACAAATCTGAAGATTTTGTGCCTGTGGTAGGTAGAAGTATAATGAAACTTTTCCTTGTGAGATATTGAGTACCTGCTAAGAGCTAGATGCTCAGGACTCTAATCAGAGGATGAGACTAAGGAGGCTTCATCGTCTCTAAACCTCCTCACAAGTCATTTTTTCCCCTGAAGACATGGGTGGGTGGGTGCTAAGAAGTGAGTGATAAAGGCAAGACACTCCTTTAAGTCTCTCTAGTCACCTCTTAACTCCCTAAACAACCCCTGCTATGGGGGTTCTCCACCCTCAGACCACCCCTGGCCCGGTTGCTGGGCTGTCCATGGCTTCTCATACCTCCTTGATCTTGGGTCTTTCAGATCAAAGTTAAACACTTGTGGGCAGAGCCAGCTCATTCCATCCCTGAAGCAGGAGGAAAGAGCTGGAATCCAACAAGTGCACCCATGGGTCCTGGGAGGGCTCTGTCCTGGCCACTTCTTGTTACCTATGGTGGGATTTCCTGGCTGCCCACAGGTTTCTGCATGAAATCCAATTGAATTGCGCTGTCAACAAGATGAGTGTGGACAACCTGGCCACCGTGATTGGGGTGAATCTCATCAGGTCCAAGGTTGAAGACCCTGCTGTGATCATGAGAGGTACACAGGCTGGTCAGCAACGGAGGGGCACTGGAAGTGGCACCGAGAACGCTGCCCCCAGTGTCTGTGTCCTGCTCTGCAGCTCAGCAAGCTTCACTTACTGTCGCCACTGAATGCTATTAACAGACCTACGAGGTCAGAGGTGCAGGAATTATATTTCCTGCCCAATGGTCACAGAGCATAGCAGGCTAACCCAAAACCAATGAACTAGTGTTTCCTATTCATTTACTATCAAGCAGAGCAAACAAGTTTCCATTTTATAAGCCAGTTCACAAAAAAGACTGCTGTGAAGCTGAGCTGAGAAGGCTTGTGTCTTGTCTAGATAAGCAAAGCTGTAGCACAATGGCCAATGTCTCCCATCAAGTGGGCAGGCAGCCTACCCCTGTACAATAGAAAACAGATGCTTACTGAGGGCGACAACAGGAGATAGAGTTACCTTTATTTTCTTGCCTGTTATTTTACCTCCTGCCTGATTCAAACATGATCCAGGACAATATAGGATAAAAAATATCCTTAAAACCTCCTTATTCACCCCCTTCTATATACTTCTTCTAGTCCATCTTCTCCCTCAGACAATTAAGAAGGGCCCCATGAGGAGCAAATGAGGTCCCTTGAGGCCTACAGTTTTTGGGTCAATGGAGACACCTTACAGGCGCCAACCCCTGAGGCCCTCCTGGTACAGCCACTACAATCTCTTCCTTTTTCAGGGACTCCTCAGATTCAAAGAGTGATGACCATGATGATCAGAGACCACGAGGTCCTCTTTCCTAAATCCAAGGATGCACCACTGTCGCCCCCTGTCCAGAAAAACGACCCCAAGAAACCCCCAGTACCCCGAAGCTCTGTGGGCTGGGATGCCACTGAAGACCCTCCACTTTCCAGGACAGACAGCTTCAGTAACACGGTAAGACACAGGTGCCAGCTGCCCCATTGGACTCTCCTTCAGTGCAGTCATCCTAAGGCAGTAGCGGGGAATGGTGGCTGCATCAGGACGTCTACAGAAAGCCCAGGGCTAGGGACATGTGAGAGAATTATGCACAACCTGAGTCCTGGGATCCTCCATGAAACCCTCTCCAAGAGAGAAATCCAGGAAAGTTCAATGGAAAAAATAAACAGAGCAGTTTTGTGAGAGTTGTTGGAACATTCTGAGTAAAGTCCAGAGAGAGCTGGTGTCCTGCTAACCCTGAAGCATGATTCCTTTCTCAGAGTAGGGGACGTGTAGTCATCCTCGTTCACTGATAAGCTGCCTCAGCAGTGTTAGCTCCTCATTTGTACAGAAGGGATGGAACTCACATTCTCCGTGTCCCCACACTCTGCAGACTCCACAGTGTAGACTACTAGGGAGCATCAACTTATGAAGGTCAAATATTTTCATATATTTAGAGGAACATTTTTTTTTAAAGAATGTGTCGCTTTTATGCGGCAGCTTGATTCTTCATGCACAGCCAAGAAATGAATTTAAATTTTCTAGTTGACCAAGTAAGTTACCTGCACTACTGTCAAAAGTGGGAAAAGGGTAGCAAATTGTAGTGGTTATAGTTTTTCTTTGATGACTCTTGTGTAGATAGAGGCATCTTACTAGCACTCTACAACTAAACTACAATTTAAAATCATTCGTGCTTTGTGGATAAAGTCACCCACAGGCCTGCACTGTCCATGCTCTGCTCCTTTGGCAGCTTCCCAGTAATGACAGGACAACCTCTATGCTGGGGAAGCACATGGATCCCTCGGAGTCCACACTCTGACTCTGGAGGGCAAGTTACCACCAAACTTTTTAATTGAGGAGCTGAGGCCAAAGAGGTTGACCAGCCAGCCTAGCGCAGGGCATAGGTCTGAGGGCCTGCACCCACTTCAGGACTAATGTCCCCAAGCAGGTGGCTAGCTAGGCCGAGAGAGAGCTCAGCCCAACTTTCCCCATCTTCTGTGGGGCACATTTTTCTCTTTTTCTTTCTAATTTAATTTTGAATATCCACACAGTTCCAAAAACCAAAATCCTAGGAAAAGGTACCCATTGAAAAGTCCTGCTCCATCCCTGAATTAGTTACTATCTCATTTTGCAGGTAGCAAAATGCCTGACAAAAGCAACTCAAGAAAAGAAAGTTTGCTTTTGACTCAGAGTTCAAGTGCAGTTCCTGGTGACAGGGAGGGCGTGGCAGCAGGAGCCAAGGCAGCTGGGCACAGTGTGTCCACAGCCAGGAAACAGATAAATGCTGGTGCTCAGCTCGCTCCCTCCTTTTCACTCAGCACAGGACTCCAGCCCATGTAATGATGCAGCTCACGGTTACAGTGGGTCTTCCCACCTCAGTTAACTCACTCAGATCATCTCTCACAGACGTGCCCAAAGGGTCCTTTCCATGGTGATTCCAGATCCTGGCAAGTTGGCAATATTAATTATCATACTGCCCTTTCCCACACACCCAGCTCTTCCTGCTGTGTTAGTGTCTTAGCCATCCTTCCAGGATCCTTTACACAAATAAAAGATGCAAATACAGATTATTTTCTTACTTCCCCTTTTTACACAAAATGTGTATTTTTTTCCCTTTCTATCTCTTTTGTATCTCACATTTTTAAACTTAGCAGTATATCCTGGAGACTCATATCAATATGTAAATGCATACCCATAAGGCCTCATTTTTGGCAAGTATATAGTGTTCATTCATTAGCTGTACTACAAACCATTTACCCAGCCCCTAGAGATGAGCAGATCTATTTCGGTCCTTTGTATCACAAAGAAGTCTACCATGAATCATCTTGGCCATACTTTGCTTTGCATTCAGGCAGATATCATTCTGGAATAAATACTCAGAAATGAGATTAGAGGGCAAGATGGTAAGTAAACTTACATGCGTCATCTTTTATAAACGTTATTAACATCTGTGTTGTATATTTCTATGGCAATGCCTGAAAAGACCCATTTCTCTATGCTTTCACAAATGACCTGTGCTGTCAGATTTAGGGATGTCCCCCATGTGATAAAAGAACTGCTAGATCATGAATTTTAACTTGAGTTTCTTTTATTAATTATGAAAAGAGGCTAAATATATTTCTGTTTTAAAATATTTTATTATTTTTTTATTTAATGTTTATGAGTATATTACTTGCATATAGGTAGGTGCACCCATGCATGCAAGTACCCACAGAGGTCAGAAGAGGGTGTCGGAGCCCCTGGAACTGCAGTTACAGATGGTTGTTAGCCACCATGTTGGTGCTGAGAATTGAACCCAGATCCTCTGCATGAGCAGTCAGTGCTCTTAACCGCTAAGTCATCTCTCCAGCTCCCTAAAGTGTGAGGGGCAGCTCATTTTTTTCCTCCACGAACTGTCTGTTCTTGAAGCTCTTTGCCTATGTTGATGTGATAGTCTTTCCTTTCTCAATCTTTGTAAACTCTGTGTAACAAGAGAGACCTGTTACAGTCTCTGTACAGGTACAGAGCCCTGCACTGTCTGTGATATACATGGAAGAGCTTTGGGCCAGCTTGTCACCTGGCCTGTCGTTTAGCACATAGTGGCTTATTTGCTTTATTTTTTGTTCTTTAAAATTTTGGAGGTCATGGAAATCCATGTCAGTTAAATTTATTGAACTTTTCTTATTGCTTCTGGGCTTTGGACCCACAGTCAGCAGGACCTCCTATCCTAAGTTTATGAAAGGATCTTAATTTAGATTCTTTTACCTCAAGCAAGCAAATGGTTTTAACCAACACTCCCTCTCTAGAGCTTGAATAAGTTCCATAACTGTGAAATTACCACACAGACAACCAAGGTAATAGATTAATGGCGTCACAGGTGTGTGACCAGGATACACTTTCTTGCCAGTCTGTAATCCTTATCTTGGAAGCATGACACACAGAAGGAAAAAATTCATAACATCCATGGCCATTTTTTCCAGGCAAGTGACTCTGATGCCACCAGCCCCACTGGACGACAGCCAGGCAACCAGCATCAAGAGGACGATGACCAAGTCCCCAGGGAAAAGCCAGGAGACTGGAAGGTGCAATCTCGAAAGAGGACTCAGACACTCCCCAACCGGAAGTGCTTCTTGGCATCAGCATTCCAAGGCACCAACAGCAGCAAACTGGAAATCTTTAAAAATGAGTTCTGGTCTCCATCTTCAGAAGCTAAAGCAGGGGAGGGGCACAGGAGAACTATGTCTCAAGACCTTCGTCACCTTTCCAACGACCAGCGGACTTCTACCTATGATAACGTCCCTGCCCCACCAGGGTCCCCAGGGACCCCAGCAGGTGCACTCTCTCCCCCTGCCTGTGACTCCAAGAGAGATGTTCTTGTCAGTACAAACTCTGAAATGGGGCCTGGAAGAAAGGACTCTGGAGAAGAGGAGATTGATTCTTTGCAGAGGGTGGTCCAGCAGCTGAGGACAGAAATAGAAACTCAGAAGCAGATGTATGAGGAACAGATTAAAAAGTAAGTCACCTGCAGAGGGCCACTGTGTATACTTTCCATATTTAGAAAGAAGGGGATTGCCCACACCTGCCAAAAATTATTCATGGAGCTGAGTGTGGTGGCACATTCCTTTAATTCCAGAACTTGGGAGGCAGAATCAGGCAGATCTCTGTGAGATCAAGTTCAGCCTGGTCTGCATAGCAAGTTCCAGGACAGCTATTGCTACGTAATGAGACCCTGTCTCTAAAAAACAAAACAAAAAAAATTATTCACGGAACATAGTAGCCAATAGCAGGGAAACCTAGTAAAGAAAAGAACAAAGGGAGAGATGAGGTAGATAAATTAGGAAAACCCTAAACTTCAGATTAGAACCATGGAAACTTAAATATATAGCCCAAGTAGTATTGAGGATGAATATACCTGACTGAGTTAAAGGGAGCTTTTATAAGCCTCCATACTATTCTTATTCATTAATTGTGCAAATATCTCTTGAAAACCTCTGTGGTCTAAGCAGTATTCCAGGTGCTGGGACAGCATTCAACAAATCAGATGAAAGTCCCTGTACTTGTAAGGAGCTCTCGTCTAGTGGGAATAGACAGTAGGAAGAAATGAAATGAAATACACATTATATCAGATGATTGAAAATGCTATGGGGAAAACTGAAGATGGAGAGTTCAAGAAGTTATTACAAATTCTGATGTTACAATGGGTGATCAGGAGGTCCTCACTGAGAAGGCGGTGTTTCAGGAAAGGCCTGAAGATTGGAGAACAAGTCAGGTCCACAGATGGAGGAGAACATGCCAGGCAAATAGAAGCCAAGGTGCTGAGGCTGCGAGAAGACAGTAGGTCTGCTGTATTGATGCCCAGGAGGAGAGGAGTGGGGGTAACTGGTAGGAGGGGAGGGCCAACAAGTGCAGGGAACCAGAGCCCAGGAGGGTTATGTGGCCACTGCAAAGTCTGATTTACATGAAGCTTCTGGATAGCTTCTATCGGACTTAATATTTCAGCTGCTTTCTGCAACTCCCACTGAGCACAGGCTATAAGGTTAGATGGGGAAAATGAGACAGGCCGCACCTCATGGGACCCTGAGAAGTTTGCTAACAGTTGGTGCTCTTGGATAGGTGAAATATTTTCTTGGAATCTTTTCTTGGAACACTACTAACTGCCCAGTAATATTTTTTAGTATCATTTTGTTTATTGTTTGTTTGTTTGCTTGCTTGTTTTTAGTTAGTAAACAAAGTAATGGGTTTCATTCTGGCATTTTGACATATCGTCTTTGTTGATCTTCCTCTTCCATTCTTCTCCAGCAAATTCTTTCTCATGAGAGAGAATCTCAGTCCAGCCTTGCCCATGTGAATTTGTCATAAGTCCACAAAATGAGAACCAATGGGTTTTCATATTTACAGATAACTTCTATTAAGACTTAGGCACACACCAGGTACAGTGGTCTAATCCCAGCACTCAGGAAGCAGAGGCAGGCAGATCTCTGTGAGTTTGAGGCCAGCCTAATCTACATAGTGAGTTCCAGGCCAGCCAAGGATACACAGTTAGACCCTGTCTAAAAAAAAAGATAAGATAGAAAACTTAGATCCTGGAAAGACTGTTGTGAGTTTTCATTCACTGATCCTTACAGAGGGCTGCCCTCAAGCAAAACATGGCTTCTTTGCTTAATAACCTGAAATCAATAATTTGTGGAATTTTAAGACTCCTGTGCCATCTTAGCAGGGAGAAAAGCAGCCCCAGAGAAGGCTTTCATCGCACCTCAGCCCAAGTGCCTTGACAGGGCAGAAGGACTGACTGCCACACCTGTGGCTGCTCCTTATCAGAGCAGTCTCTGAGCCACCTGTTAGAGGCCCATTCGTGACAGAGGCAGGAGGATTAGCAGCCTGGCAATGCCTTCTCATTGAGTCCACACAGGAAGTACTCCCATTTCCTAGATGAAATGGGGGCTTAAGAAGTATCAAGTATTCCTGAAGGCTACAAAGCTGATCATTGTGAGCTGAGTTCAAACCTTGGTCAGTCAAGCTCCCAAGCCCAAGCAGACTCTACCTGTCCATTTTAATCAGTCCTCAGGATCCAGCTCAACATCTCATCTGGATTTTCTCCGAGACAAGGGAATAGCAAAGCTAGAGAAATCTGAATTCATAATGAGAGGGTCCAAAGAAATAAGAATAACTCTTCTGAAAGAAGAGATGAACGGTACAGGCAAGGCTCAGCGGGGAGCATTCCATGCAGAATCAGCCAAGGCCGTTGAAGACAGAACCCAAGGCATGGGCTCAGATAAGTGCTCAAATCTGCAATTAGCACAGGCAGGCTGCTTGCGGGGAGGAGGCAACCCCCACAGAGTGAGTTTGGGGAGGAAAAGGCAGCACTTAGAGAATGAGCTTGGTGAACAGAAGGCAGCACCCACAGAATGAGATTCTGAAGCAAATTTTCAATCACAAAATCTGAACTTCACCCAGACCAGAAATTTCCTCCTTAGGCTTAAAAAAAATGGAGTGTATATACTCATTCCTAAGGGTTAATTCAGCAGAGCATGGCAGAGGCACCTGGGGCTGTATTAGGATTTTGACCAGAAGCAATGAAAGTCTTGAGAACTCAGGAGGCATATAGGTTGTCTACCTGAAGCAGGAGTTAGAATTGCAGTGTGAACCCCAGAACCCTGGTGTGTTTTCCTTTGCTTCTCCAAATCTTGATCCCAGGCAGATCTTAGTGCAGAAGGACTCTGGTGAGGCTGTCCACTGGAGCAGGGAAAAGAGGTCTACCATGCACAGAAACGCTGAGAATCTAGAATACGGATGGCACTTTGTACAGGGTCAGCTGACCTTGACAAATAAAGGGGCTACAAGTGTAGAAATGTAGACATATTATAGATGATACTTTTTTGAAATATTTTATCTGGATGAAGATGTGATACAACACATAGAATGACATGAAACACAGAAACACAAGAGATAGATGTCACAAAATGGTGTTAAGTGACAAGGAGGGACTCAGATACACTCTGGGAGTTCAGGTTTTCTGGGAAAAATTTCTCATGGGAGAAAGGACAGAAATAAGAGTCAAGGGCTGGATTAGGGTCTTACATCTAGAAAAGCAAATGAACAAGAGGTTGTGAACAGGGCAAAAGGTTGTAAAGGAAAGGTCCAGAATTAATGACCTGGCTTTCCATTTGTTTCCTTCCTTGCAGCCTTGAGAAGGAAAATTACGATGTCTGGGCTAAGGTGGTAAGACTCAATGAGGAACTGGAGAAAGAAAGGAAGAAGTTTGCAGCTCTGGAGATCAGCCTTCGCAACGTGGAGCGCTCCCGGGAGGATGTTGAGAGGAGGAACAAGGTTTTGGAAGAAGAAGTCAAGGAATTTGTGAAATCGATGAAGGAACCCAAGACAAAGACCAATGCTTGAGGGCCTGAGGTGTGTGGCAGGGACAGCCAACTCTGTCCCTTTTCTCGATATACCAATTCCTGGGAAGCAAGATCACCCCTAAGATGGATAGGACATCTGAGGGAAGAGTCATAACATCAGCAAATAAATGGAGTTTGCAAGAGGATGTGGGTGAGCAGGGACACACCAGCACACTCAAACAGACTGTGTTATTCTACCGTAGGAAGAGTGAACTGGACCCCTCCCTGGTGCATGACCACGTCAAAGGGAGACGTGTGAGGTGGGTGCAACATCTCAGGACCCAGGAAGAAGGCTGGCCCCAACCCAGGGCAGGGTCAAAGCCTCAGTTCTTGGTTTTCTGTGTGGATAGCTCACCTGGTCAGATGGCTCCAGCCAGCTCTGAGACATGAGCAGAACACGATACTTGGTTCTCAGGTGCCGACCCAGAGAGGGCTGTGTGGGGAGGCTGACGTGCTGGAGAATCCATACAGTAAAGTGTATTTATGGGAGCAAAACTGGTGGGAAAGCTGTATTGAAGTAAAGTAAAAAAGAAAACAAGAAATGAGTCATGCCAATCCAAGCACGTTAAAGAATTAGTAAAAGACATCACTCCCTTGAAGCAGGCAAGTCCCTCTCATGGCGCAGGGCTGTGTGAGCAGGGCTTGTGCTAGAGTCCATCCTGGGTTACCTTTTGGTGGCTGCAACTGTGTCTGGAAAGCCTAAGAGTGAAGGTTTTTAGCTATGGATTGACGTCGGGTGTGTTGTAGATATTGAACAGTCCAGATAAGACTGTTTTTCTGTTTCAACAAATGCACATTATTTTTTTAAAACGTGGTATCAGGCACTATTTTCTGTTTGTTGTCTCCCTGCCTTCCTTAGTCTATGACTTACTGCTCAAAACGTGAAAGGTACAGATAAGAGGACTAGAGAAATAGCTCAGTCAGTGGTAAAAGCACCTGCCACCAAGCCTGATATGACCTGAGTTTTATCCCTGGGACCTGCATGGTAGAAGGAGAGAACCAACCCCCCAAAGCTATTCTTTAACCTACACATGCACACACACACACACACACACACACACACACACACACATTAATTATATGCAGTAAGAAGAACAATAAAACATTTGACTCCTAGGGTCTACTTGTTTTTAATTATAGACTCACAGACATGATGACATCCCCTGGACATCTGAGTCTCTGAAGTTGATGCTGCCAGCACATCTGTGTTCCCCCACATTGCCTCATACTGTCTCTTTGCGTTCTGACAAAGCAGAGTATGGAAGTGACCAGTGTCATAGGGGACATTTGTCTGAAGGTACAAAAAGGAGATCCTGGAGTCTGTTTCAAGGTCCACAATATTGGACCTGCTGGACTTGGCAGCTGGATGTTAGGCTGAGCAGCAGTCCAAACCCCTACCCTCTTCTGGTCTGGCAACACCTCTCTTTCTGTTCTTCCCACTGTTGTCTGAGACAGCAGAGCAGCCATTCCAGCTTTGGAAGAAATGGTCAAGTGAGAGAAGGTTCTGGCTTTCTTAAAATGCTACCTCTTGGTCCCATATCCACTTCCATGCAGGGAAGACACAAGAAACAGAGTTCCTGCAGGGCTCTAGGTCCTAATGAGTCCAGAGAAGAAAAGTTTGGAGTCTAGTACCACTGTCTCCATTGCCTTCAGAGGAGAGGCACAAGATACAGGGCAGGGGAGCCCCAGCTTCACCTGGCCAGGGGTCAGCCTCTCAGGTGTTCTTTCAGGTCTAGGAGTTCCTGTCTATAGTACAGGACTGCACTAAATCTGCCTCTTCTCTAGCCACACCCCACAACCCGCCTCCTCCCTCTTGTGTCATATATTCAAAGCCTGGGAAAGGAAGCAATGGGCACTTGAAAACCCTTGCCCTGCCCTCTGCCTAGTCAGACTTCCTTTCCCTCACAGCCTTGGGCATGGCACACATCAGTACATGTTTCTCTTAAGCTTAAGGCAGATGTGGTACTTTTTCAGAGTTTATGGACTGGATGAGACAATTTGTATTAGGGTCTCCTAGTGGATTTTTGCAGTCTGGAGGTCTGGAGAGACCAAGTATGGCAATCCCAGTACAGAGCCTGCAGTACAAGATATAAGCGGTAAACATGTTTTGATAAACTTCCTTAAAGCTCTGCTCAGAGAAGCAAGACTCGAGACAGCTGGTGAAGGAGGAAGACAAGGAGTGTAGTGCCTTAGCAACTGCTGGCTGGGCTCCACAGGCTCATGGGAAGATTCGTGAGCACTCACATTGGGTAAAAGTTCACATTCTACCACTTCCTGTACAGATACTAGCAGTGACCAGGCCATGAGCCTGTCCGGGAGCTGAGCAAACACTTGGAGGCTGATCCTACATTTAAAGTGGGCAGTCTTTATGAGACTCACATGAGGAGGAAAGAGGCCCCAGGATGGAGCCCCAGGTACCCCATCCTGGGCTGGCATTGAGCTGCAGTGTAACTCCAGGTTGCACTTCCTCTGAAAGGGAAAACTCTCCAAAACACACTAACAGACCTGTAAGACACTCATGAGTATATGTTATTCAAACTGTTCATTCAATGGTCAGAGAACCTGAGGCTCAGAAACATAAACTGGCAGGCCAGTGTCCCTATAAGAATGAGAAAGAAAATTAGGGAGGGGGAGGGCACACCTGCAACCTACGATTCAGAGATTCTTGTGCTTCTTGACTTCAGCCGTGGTATGAAACCCATTGCAGACACAAAGCTGGTCTCAGACGGTGCTGACAACAAAGACCCACCAACTATGGACCCATTTTTCTCATCTCTTTTGTATCATCAGTAGTGTTGTAAGACAGCGTCTCTTAGTGTTAGCCAGACACTAGAAAGACTAAGTAGTCTTTTTTTTTTTTTTGATCTTTTAGAGACAGGGTCTCCCTGTCGCCCCAGCTGACCTGGAACTTGCTATGTAGACCAGGCTGGCCTTGAACTCACAGAGATCCGTCTGCCTCTGCCTCTCGAGTGCTGGGATTAAAGGTATGTGCCACTACGCCTGGCTCTAAGTAGTCTTTAAAAAATATTTTGATGCCAGGCCCAGGGGTGAGGGTCTATAATCTCAGCTACTTGGGAGGCTGAAGCAGGAGGATTGCCAGTTAAAAGCCAGCCAGTACAATAGAGTGAGCTTAAGTCCAGCCTGGGCAACTTAATGAAACCCTGTCTCAAAGGTAAAAATGTGAGAAGAGGGCTAGAGACGTAGCTCAGTGGTGAGCACTTTCCTAGACCACCAGAGGCCCTGGGTTCGATCCCTAGCACTGCAAAACAAAATGAAACCAAACAGAAAATCCGATGGTTAGCTCTTTTCTCACATCAATTGAATCAGAATCTTTGAGTGGGTCAAAAGAATTGATTTTTTAAAAATTCCAAGTTGATTCTAAGATACAACTAGAATTGTTAAATATCATTCTAAAACTACTAAGTTTGGTTTGAGTCATAACTAATGATAATATTAAACGTATATAGTCCCCTCTGTCTCCAGTTAACACCGCTCCATTCTCTGGCCCTCCCTATGTGCTGGTTTATCATGTGTTCATTCACTGAGAATAAGGGACAAAGGATAGGGCTGGAGAGATGGCTCAGCAGTTAAGAGCACTGACTGCTCTTGCAGAGGACTGCGGTTCCATTCCCAGCACCCACATGGCGGCTAAGAACCGTCCTTAACTCCAGTTCCAGGAGAATCTGACTCCCACTTCTGACCTCTGTGACATTGCACGACACGGGTGCATTTACATACATGCAGGAAATACACATAAAATAATTATGATAAAATACTAAAAAACAGACAAAGGATAGATTTATTATATCTATATGTGAAATTATGCATTTCACAGATGGTGAAAACTGACCCCAAAGATGTTACAAAAAAATCTCATCAGTAATGTAAATCATAGACCAATCCAAGGATTGATTCTGAGACTTCTTTCACAATGAGGCTGTTGAACTTGCTTTGAAATTTGAGTCAATGCACAGGCAAAGAATGTAAGCACTTGAGGCTTTAGAGTCCTGAGAATAACTCTGATTAAAACCATCACTTGGGGTAGTAACTATAAGTACCATGTTACTGGGAGATAGCCTGAAGCCTCCAATAGTCATTGATATTATCTTTTTTGTGTGTGTCTCTTTGAGACAGGGTCTCCCTGTAGCCACAATTGGCCTGGGACTTACTATATAGACCAGGCTGGCCCCCATCTCACAGAAATTTGCCTGCTCCTGCTCCCAAGTGCTGGGATTAAAGGGACATGCCATGGGGGACCAGACCAAGACTGTGGTGTCTTGCCTTTGTATTATTCTCACTCATGAACAGTAAAGTCCACATGCTATCATGTACCTGAAATGCTAGTTCACCCGGGAAGTACATTTAGTCCAGCCCCTGCCCCTGCCCCTGCCCCTGCCCCACCCCCATCTCTCCAGCCCTATCCTTTGTCTCTTATTCTCAGTGAATGAGCACATGATAAAAATGTGGTGAAAGCCGAACCTACGGACTCTCTAAATCTGCTGAACACACTGACCTCTTTAATTATTTCATAAACAGCTATGTCACTAGCATCACGCACACAGAGATACAACAGAACACCAGGCGGTTCAGCAGGCCCTCTGCAGCCTCCCACGTACCCTTCCAGGCTGTCCCAGAACCAGACTATGAAATGTGTATTATTATTGTCAATAAAAAGAGAAGCCACTCTAAAAAATCAATACAGTGGTAGAAGGATCGCTGGAACCAGTAAAAACAGACAAACATAAAGAACAGGATTTAAAAAAGGAGGAACTCAAAGAGGCATGAGAGAGGGAAGATTCTGCAAAGTCCTGCTTTCAGCTGCTTGGAAGGTGGAGTGAAAGTGCTCTGCCACCAGAGTCAAAGTGAAATCATCTGTAACAGTAAAAAGTTATTACCAAATCGGCTACGGAGGTTTATTCCTCAGTATGAATACATCATTTCCCACAAATAAGTAAGCACCTGCTGTTTCGATGCTTCAGCTAAAACACGTGATACCGCTCACTTAGTTTTCAAATGCAAAGAACACAGATCTGGCTGACTGTGGTAGCACACGCCTTTGATCCTAGCCCTCAGGAGGCAGAGGTAGGTGGATCTCTGTGAGATGGAGGCTAGCCTGGTTCACACAGTGACTTTCGGGCAGTCTGGGACTAGGGAGACCCTGTGAAAACAAACAAACAAACAAAAAAGAATACAGACCTGGGGCCAGGTCACCTGCAGCACAGGTGGCCTTTCTTGAGCCTTTTTGGTAAGTGCAGCTTTTGTTGATCACCTCTCATTGCAACTTAGGCTTCATCTTTACATCAAATGATGGCTTCTCACAGCTCCTTGCAGGGGACCCAACTCTGTCACACACTGCCTGGCCTCCATGGCTTTCCGGAATCTTTCTTAGTCAAGCTTCCATGACCCATTTACTCTTGCATCATGGATGTCTACAAAACAAGCACCACAAGGAAGATGCTAAGTTCTGCTACTAGTAGATGATCTTGGCCCCCTTGGAACACAGGTGCAGTGGACTCTGCCCCTTCATGGCCAAAACTGGGAAAACACTTCCCTCTGCAGCCCTGCGGGATCAGTTTCATGATTTACTCTGTCAGAAACATAGATGCCTTCTATAGTAACAATTGTAATTGTCAAAGAGATTAGCACCATTAAGGAGTGATTCTGAAGTTTTAAAAGTGAGATTACACTGTTACATTCTAGGTACCTTCTGGGCAGGACCATCAAGAGCCATGGCCTTCTTTTCTAGAAACCAAGTGGTGAATAATTTCCTCTGTCCCACAGTCCTTGCTGAAATGAACTGCTTAGCCACAGGCCCCAAAACAGTGGGGCCAAGTGACCATGGCTTAAGCATCCAAAACTGTGAAGCATAATAAACGTTTCCTCTTTGTACATTGTTTATCTGAGGTATTTTATTACAGTAACACAATGCTAGTTAACATACAAATGACTTTTTTAAATGATCATCTTC